AAAACATAGTGCAGAGGGACAGGGATCCTTAAGTGTCCCATCAATTTTCTTTGGATAATACAGAATACTTTGATAGTTTACATACACCTACACACCTAAAAGGCATGTATATACCTCTATAACTTTACTGGTTCCATTCTGTAAGCTATGTATTTTTGTATACCCTACAGTGTTGACTAAAAAAGAAAGCTAGTAGCTCTAGGCAGTGAGGTATCTACCGGGGTAAGTTACATGAAGAACAGGTCTGACGTTTCTGTTAAGTGGTGTTGGGAAGGTGTGATGAATATTATTCAGAACAATACTACAAAATAATAATCCTGAGGCTGCTCTATTTTTAAAAAACTTAATGAAGTGCTGTTCGTTTTGATCCTATTTTATGCTGTTTTAACATCAAATAGAATTATGAGTATTAAATGTTTCTCACATATTCTGAAAAAGAGTTTGTATCACATTATGCAAGCAAACAACTTTGAGACAAAGCTAGCATACTTTACTGATAAAGCTGGCCACGTTTTATATACATGTATATACATTTATTTACTATTATTGAAACATGAATTTATGAAAAAGTGATTTCCCTGCCAACACTGAAGTTCTCTCCCACTCTCTAGACATATACACAATAACTTAGCTGCATCTACATCGGATCACAACACCAGGCTGTAACAAATAGCCATCCAGCATAACATTCTCATAAAACACCAGGCCGTTATGTATATTAAACCCCCCTTAGTGGCGTCTGTTACATAAACAGCCTCTCAAAATATCATTCTCATAAACACACACCAGTCTGTTATATATAGCCTCTCAGTGTATCATTGTCATTAACAAACACTAGTCTGTTATATATAGCCTCTCAGTGTATCATTGTCATTAACACACTAGTCTGTTATATATAGTCTCTCAGTGTATCATTGTCATATTAACACAACAGTCTGTTATATAGTCTCCCAGTGTATCATTGTCATTAACACTCACGTCTGTTATATAGAGTCTCTCAGTGTATCATTGTCATTAACACACACCAGTCTGTTATATATATAGTCTCTCAGTGTATCATTGTCATTAACACGCAAGTCTGTTATATATAGTCTCCCAGTGTATCATTGTCGTTAACAAACACCAGTCTGTTATATATAGTCTCTCAGTGTATCATTGTCATATTAACACAACAGTCTGTTATATAGTCTCCCAGTGTATCATTGTCATTAACACTCACGTCTGTTATATAGAGTCTCTCAGTGTATCATTGTCATTAACACACTAGTCTGTTATATATAGTCTCTCAGTGTATCATTGTCATTAACACACACCAGTCTGTTATATATAGCTTCTCAGTGTATCATTGGCATTAACCCAAACCAGTCTGTTATATATAGTCTCCCAGTGTATCATTGTCATTAACACAACAGTCTGTTATATATAGCCTCTCAGTGTATCATTGTCATTAACACACCAGTCTGTTATATATAGCCTCCCAGTGTATCATTGTCATTAACACTCACGTCTGTTATATAGAGTCTCTCAGTGTATCATTGTCATTAACACGCAAGTCTGTTATATATAGTCTCCCAGTGTATCATTGCCATTAACCCACACCAGTCTGTTATATATAGTCTCCCAGCGTATCATTGTCATTAACAAACACTAGTCTGTTATATATAGCCTCTCAGTGTATCATTGCCATTTACACACCAGTCTGTTATATATAGCCTCCCAGTGTATCATTGTCATTAACACTCACGTCTGTTATATAGAGTCTCTCAGTGTATCATTGTCATTAACACACCAGTCTGTTATATATAGTCTCCCAGTGTATCATTGCCATTAACACACAAGTCTGTTATATATAGTTTCCCAGTGTATCATTGCCATTAACACACAAGTCTGTTATAGTATCATTGTCATTAACACAACAGTCTGTTATATATAGCCTCTCAGTGTATCATTGTCATTAACAAACACTAGTCTGTTATATATAGCCTCTCAGTGTATCATTGCCATTTACACACCAGTCTGTTATATATAGCCTCCCAGTGTATCATTGTCATTAACACACACCAGTCTGTTATATATATAGTCTCTCAGTGTATCATTGTCATTAACACGCAAGTCTGTTATATATAGTCTCCCAGTGTATCATTGCCATTAACCCACACCAGTCTGTTATATATAGTCTCCCAGCGTATCATTGTCATTAACACACAAGTCTGTTATATATAGTCCCCCAGTGTATCATTTCCATTAACACACAAGTCTGTTATATATAGTCCCCCAGTGTATCATTTCCATTAACACACAAGTCTGTTATATATAGTTTCTCAGTTTATCATTGTCATTTACACACAAGTCTGTTATATATAGTCTCTCAGTGTATCATTGTCATATTAACACAACAGTCTGTTATATAGTCTCCCAGTGTATCATTGTCATTAACACTCACGTCTGTTATATAGAGTCTCTCAGTGTATCATTGTCATTAACACGCAAGTCTGTTATATATAGTCTCCCAGTGTATCATTGCCATTAACACACAAGTCTGTTATAGTATCATTGTCATTAACACAACAGTCTGTTATATATAGTCTCCCAGTGTATCATTGTCATTAACACTCACGTCTGTTATATAGAGTCTCTCAGTGTATCATTGTCATTAACACACCAGTCTGTTATATATAGCCTCTCAGTGTATCATTGTCATTAACACACAAGTCTGATATATATAGTCTCTCAGTGTATCATTGTCATTAACACACACCAGTCTGTTATATATAGTCTCCCAGTGTATCATTGCCATTAACACACAAGTCTGTTATATATAGTCTCTCATTGTATCATTGTCATTAACACAACAGTCTGTTATATATAGTCTCCCAGTGTATCATTGTCATTAACACACAAGTCTGTTATATATAGTTTCTCAGTGTATCATTGTCATTTACACACAAGTCTGTTATATATAGTCTCTCAGTGTATCATTGTCATTAACGCACAAGTCTGTTATATATATAGCCTCCCAGTGTATCATTGTCATTAACACTCACGTCTGTTATATAGAGTCTCTCAGTGTATCATTGTCATTAACACACAAGTCTGTTATATTTAGCCTCCTAGTGTATCATTGTCATTAACATACAAGTCTGTTATATTTCATTAACACAACAGTCTGTTATATATAGCTTCTCAGTGTATCATTGTCATTAACGCACAAGTCTGTTATATATGGCCTCCCAGTATATCATTGTCATTTACACACAAGTCTGTTATGTATAGCCTCCCAGTATACCATTGTCATTAACACACCAGTCTGTTATATATAGTCTCCCAGTATATCATTGTCATTTACACACAAGTCTGTTATATATAACCTCCTAGTGTATTATTCTCATTAACAAACATCAGTCTGTTATATATAACCTCCTAGTGTATCATTGTCATTAACACACAAGTCTGTTATATATAATCTCCTAGTGTATTATTCTCATTAACAAACATCAGTCTGTAATAAATAGTCTCTGTGATTATCATATCATTTTTGTAACAAATGCTGCTTGCGTTTCTGTATCAAATTTAAGTTATTAGATTTTGAAGGGATTTTCGGGTAACTTTACCCTTTCACATTTTTTGAAGCAAAGTATAAGTTCCAATATGGCAATAGTGACATGATACAAATCATTGATAACATGTAAAACCCGGTTTGACTACAGTAGTCCAAGCTTCATATGCAATGTCTTAACAGTACAATAGATGTTCAAACACTTTCTTCTATATTCATCTTAAATACAACTCATGAAATATATTTATATATTACAGCTTTAACAATGGATTTAAATGTGTACATTTTAAACATACAGTTATTACTATATGTAGATCCTACACTTAGGACATATATTAATCTAATACCAATGAAGGAATGGTTGGGGAATTCAAACAAAATCCTACTCACATAGCATAAAACATCTGGAAATGTAATTCTGGAACACTTCCCTGGGATAGGGATTTCACTGAAGAGTACACATGTTCTAACTGTCTTTACCAACAGTCACAACAGATAGGCTACCCGTTATTAACTAAACAGGTAGCTCCAACAAAAATAGTGTCAAAGTTGACCCTGTTATCTGATATAACAGAAAGTAAATCTAAACAAGAGAACACATTTAAGATTTCTCAAGATTCATATCCTCAAAACTGAAAGCACCATAATTATTAATTAGCATATACAGGCCTGATGTTCTGTTCTGTTAAGGTAGATAACAACAGCAGTGCACGTGGTTGATCTAAAAATGCAACCTGAGATACCAACAACAGCAGTGGTTGGTCTAACACTGTTACCTTAGATAACAACAACAGCAGTGGTTGGTCTACCACCATTACCTTAGATCCCAACAACAGCAGTGGTTGGTCAACCACCATTACCTTAGATCCCAACAACAGCAGTGGTTGGTCTAAAACTGTTACCATAGATACCAATAACGGCAGTGGTTCGTCTAACACTGTTACCTTAGATAACAACAACAGCAGTGGTTGGTCTACCACCATTACCTTAGATCCCAACAACAGCAGTGGTTGGTCTACCACCATTACCTTAGATCCCAACAACAGCAGTGGTTGGTCTAAAACTGTTACCATAGATACCAATAACGGCAGTGGTTCGTCTAACACTGTTACCTTAGATAACAACAACAGCAGTGGTTGGTCTACCACCATTACCTTAGATCCCAACAACAGCAGTGGTTGGTCTAAAACTGTTACCATAGATACCAACAACGGCAGTGGTTCGTCTAACACTGTTACCTTAGATAACAACAACAGCAGTGGTTGGTCTACCACCATTACCTTAGATCCCAACAACAGCAGTGGTTGGTCTAAAACTGTTACCATAGATACCAACAACAACAGTGGTTGGTCTAACACTGTTACCTTAGATAACAACAACAGCAGTGGTTGGTGTACCACCATTACCTTAGATCCCAACAACCGCAGTGGTTGGTCTACCACCATTACCTTAGGTCCCAACAACAGCAGTGGTTGGTCTAAAACTGTTACCATAGATACCAATAACGGCAGTGGTTCGTCTAACACTGTTACCTTATATACCAACAACTGCAGTGGTTGATCTACCATCATTACCGTGGATACCAACAACGGCAGTGGTTCATCTAAAACTGTTACAGTGGTTCGTCTAACACTGTTACCATAGATACCAACAACTGCAGTGGTTGATCTACCATCATTACCTAAGATACCAACAACGGCAGTGGATGGTCTAACACTGTTACCATAGATACCAACAACGGCAGTGGTTGGTCTGGTTTAACACTTGCTTAGATACCAACAACAGAAGTGGTTGGTCTACAACTATTACCTTAGATACCAAAAACAGCAGAGGTTGGTTTAACACTGTTACCTTAGATACCAACAACAGCAATGGTTGGTCTACCACTGTTACCTTAGTTATCAAAAACAGCAGTGGTTGGTCTTACACTGTTACCAAAGATACCAACAACATCAGTGGTTGGTTAACCACCATTACCTTAATTACTAACAACAGCAGTGGTTGGTCAACCACCATTACCTTAATTACTAACAACAGCAGTGGTTGGTAAACCACCATTACCTTAATTACCAACACCAGCAGTGGTTGGTCTGGTTTAACACTTGCTTAGATACCAACAACAGAAGTGGTTGGTCTACAACTATTACCTTAGATACCAAAAACAGCAATGGTTGGTCTACCACTGTTACCTTAGATACCAACAACAGCAGTGGTTGGTCTAACACTGTTACCAATGATACCAACAACAGCAGTGGTTGGTCAACCACCATTACCTTAATTACTAACAACAGCAGTGGTTGGTCAACCACCATTACCTTAATTACCAACAACAGCACTTGTCAGTCTATCAATGTTACCATTAATACCAACAACAGCAGTGGTTGGTTTAACACTTACCATAGATACAAACAACAGCACTTGTCAGTCTATCAATGTTACCATAGATACTAACAACAGCAGTGGTTGGTTTAACACTTACCATAGATACCAACAACACCACTTGTCGGTCTATCAATGTTACCATAGATACCAACAGAAGCACTTGTCGGTCTATCAATGTTACCATAGATACCAACAACACCACTTGTTAGTCTATCAATGTTACCATAGATACCAACAACAGCAGTGGTTGGTTTAACACTTACCATAGATACCAACAACAGGACTTGTCGGTCTATCAATGTTACCATAGATACCAACAACAGCACTTGTCGGTCTATCAATTTTACCATAGATACCAACAACAGCAGTGGTTGGTCTACAACAAGGTCATGTTCGATACATGTATGGTATTTGATTATGGTTGCAAATGCATTTAATAATCATAAAGACTAATTTTCTTTGTTTGTTCATAAATGATCCTAGTGCATCTACAAGATTTTTGTCAGTTTATTAGAAGGAGGACTAGTGTAATGTAAGAAAGGGTACTTGAGGTCAGAAAACTGACATTTCTTTGCTATACCAGTTAACAGCACACGTAACCAGCATAACCACATTTAAACCCTGCATTCTTCATCACCCAACAAAATCACCCATCAATTAGCTTTGTGTTGCATCTTAACATAGGACATGAAGATAGTAAGTACATTTTACCCAACATAATTAACTGTGCCAACCTCTACCTATTACCTCCCAACTTGGCAATGTAACAAGATTTACAAACTAGGGGTTGGCAATAATAATCACCAATATATCGCAATATCTGTTCATTAATATATTGTAATTTGTTTTTGAAATGGCATTATATTGCAAAAAAATCATACTAAGCAGTTATGAAATAATTTCACAGAAACAGTGTTACATGTAGTATCCAAAATTAAACTTGCTTTGATCGTTAACTTCCAATATCACACATATAATCATCAAAACATGCTAGAGTGGTGTTCACTTTACATTCAGTCTATGAAAAGCTGACTTTAAATGTATTGAATTTCTAACAAAACTATATTCTTGTGATATATTTCAATGTTCTCTAAAATACTGTGATATCAAAATTTCTTGAATTATCCACCCCTAATATACAATTTTTCTAAGCTATCGTTATGTTCTGAACACAAAATATGAAAAGAGTTAATCTTCTGTAGGTATGGGGAATTCTTAATTTCCATATCCCCATTACCTCATATGAGAAACTCCTTTCAGAAAATAATGCCTATGTAAAATTTACCTACATTTGTGTTTGAAGTCTAAAGACAATGTCTGCTAGTCATGGTGGATAAAGACTTATTCGTAAACAGGTCCCAAAGTGTTCTGGTAGTGCCCATATTCAGAAGACATCCACAACTCAGATGAAATTACAGCACATGTCTAAATAAAACAAAATCAACATAGGAATATTGCTTGTCGTCAAACCAAATGTCACTAATTGTACAGCGTTAGACCTTGGTAACAAAGCTACCAAACTACAATAAGAAAGGTAGTGCGTTCGGTAGCAGCTACTACCCCGATCTGACATTAACATTTAACACTTTCACACTTTGTAAAAACAAATTTGTATCAAATACTGGATTTAAAGCTACAATTACTTTAATTTTAATTAGAATGGTCTTGTAAACTGGATGTTACATACATGTGTCTGTATTACATGATATTCATACCATCATACTATAAAGCTATATCTGCATATTTATTGCACTTATTGTCAATCAGTCACACATACAAACTTTTTTGTACCGTATACCTATTTTTGTTGCCAGAGATAAAACTAGCAATCAAAAACGAAATACTGTTGTTGGTTAACAATTTTGGCTGTCGAATAAATTAGTTTACATTTTTCATGTAACATAAGAGAACATGATACAATTAATGGTGGGACACTAATGAACATTTGTACTCTGTGACACACATATAAAAACAGGTTGGAATGACAACTAACTAGAGTAGTTGGATGTGGCTCCTGCAAGTAGACGACACAGCCATCCCCGAACTGACCGCACAATTTGTCTTGGCAAGGCGCACGGCTGAAGCCTGGACACCATCACTCCACAGTTGACCAGGTAATCAGTGAAGTGTGTTAAGGAAAGTAGCTGATTTTGAAGTTTGGTAGAAAAATGCATCACAGGTGAAAGCTTTACCCTTTAATTTGATTCCATGACCTTGAGTTCTAATTTATATACCATACAGTATTGTAGGATTAAAATGTAGTATAAGATGCATTCCTCAAAGTTTATAGCAAAAACATCACATCATAGTAACATACTTATTCTATTACAATAATTATCATAATGTGATCTTTTGACTAAAATGACATTAACCAAATTTAATTCATGTGAAAGGAAAGCTAAATTAAACATTTAATTGATCAAACTGAAGCATATACAGAAGATGTGTGGGAAACACACTCCTGGAGTTAGAGTCATTTAAAACATCAAACAGAAGATGTGTGGGAAACACACTCATGGAGTTAGAGTCATTTAAAACATCAAACAGAAGATGTGTGGGAAACACACTCCTGGAGTTAGAGTCATTTAAAACATCAAACAGAAGATGTGTGGGAAACACACTCATGGAGTTAGAATCATTTAAAAAATGCCTACCACAAAATCTTTTATTACGTGAGTAAGTGAGTTTTGATATAAAAACAAGTTCAAATCACGGTAAAAGTCAGAAAACTTTCAAACAATTTGAACATAAAATTGCCGTTATATCACACTCGGATACAAAATGGAACCAGCAAGTGTCTAAGTTTCATGCTCATGGAGTGAGAAGCATTTCAAAAATTAATTAATCCAAAAGCTTGTTTTCAGGTGGGAGGCTGAGACCACAGGATACCCTAGAGTTACTTTAATCTTAACTAGTAAGTAAACAATTCATTACATATATTTATTTGGGGTCAATTGAACACATATTACCTGAAATTATAACATATCTTAAAGTCATCAAGTCCAAAAATAAAGCAATCAATATCTTACTAAGTAGAACATAGCTGCTGCATTTTTCTTTTCAGACATTTTGATTAATTTGATATTTTTCCAAACATAACGGACATTCCTGAGTATATAATGAAAAGGATATATAAAAGACCAGGGTGGTTTTCCTCCATTGACGTACAACACATACAAATATCCATCCCTGGGTTTACCCTGAATAGAGTAGTAATAAGGCAGGAAACTGTGAGCTTGGAATCGACGCTTCTCGTAGAACCGGATAGCAATTACATTTGTAGCAAGCACATGAAGGTATACAGCCTTACAATTACAGCGATCTTTTGATGTTAGGTAAGAGATCAGGCTGTCCAATAGCAAGGAAGCTGAAAAAGAATACAGCATTAAACAGGAGATCAAAAACCCTTACGAAACAAAGTTGATAGAGTGATGTCATTGAATTGTCGACAGATTTCTACAGACAGTTACGTGTTGTAACATAACTAGTTCATTATAGAAATTATGTCCTAATGAGCCAGTATTTCATAATTTGCTCATTATACTACCTCAAATGAAAAGTAGTTCTTAAGTGGTAGTAAAGTACTTGAACAATTGACCTACATATATCATAGATCTACAGTTACCAGACTCTGGCCTTACCAATCCCGTGTTTCCTGAAGTCCACAACCACCCCTAGGCTCAGTATGTAGGCAACCTGAGAAGTCGGAGGATGATGATTGGCCAGAATGTCAGCATCCTGTGGAGGAATATATTCATGTATTATCAATAAGGCAATTTTTGAACTTATTCTTTTATACATCCCAATCTAGGATATAGAAATCTATAGTAACCAAGTAATATAATAAAATAGGATTATAAAATAATTCCCTGTAAGAAAAGTCAAAGGAGCATGAAGATGTAATAGCCGAGTGACTGGAGCTACCTCTTTATTGATGGAAGATAGTAACTTGACCTCTGACACAATCATTCCCACTATTCTTGAATGGTAGGTTGCAGCCAATGAATAAAACTTGGGGTTGGAGGTTATTTCTTGGTACCAAGTATCCGGATATCTGTAACAAAACCATTAAATTACAAGTTCTGATAGTCTATATATGCAGATATATGGGAATGTATACCCTTTGGTATTACAATGTACTACATTTCTGGATCTTTATCATATAGGTATAATTTAACAAAAAATAATTGTGTTTTTCTTTACTTACAATAATTATATAACACCTCACTGCAATCACTATTAGCAAGATTTTTAGGTCACCTGAGACAAAGTCTCAAGTGACCTATTGCGATCGCCTTTTGTCCGTCGTCGTCCGTCGTCCGTCGTCCGTCGTCCGTCGTGCGTCCGTAAACAATTTACATTTTCGACTTCTTCTCCAAAACCCCTGA